GCTCACACATTTAAGAAAAAATTGCTGGATTGAAGTACTCGATTCCCCAATTAAGATGCACAAATGTACGATACCTCAACTAGCTATGACACTAAAGAGGCACTAAATAGTTTTCATGTAAAGCAACACCTACTTTGGCATTTCATTGTACAATTCAGATAGAGAAGAAATCAAGCAAAGGTCTCTTGTATTTCCCCAGGTGGCTTTAAGATGTTTAGGGTTCAGATCCAAACATGTAAGCATTGCTGACTGATGATCAATGAATGAATGGATAAATGAATAGTTTGATATCAACGAAGTAAGGCAAGTTTGCAAGTGACTTCAATCATTTTTTTTCAAATTTAATCCCTAAATGAATTAAAGCTTAAGTCCTAGAAATATCTGTGGATGGTGAAGAGAATATTATTGAAAAAAATGTAAGAGAGGATGGTTTTCAAGCCAGTTTTAAGATCTGTCTGAGAAATTTTTGTTGTGAATTGGATATTTCCATTTGAATAAAAATGCATCATCCCCAGACATTACAGCATACAAGTTGGACAATTTAAGACATAGGTAAAATTTTAATAAGTATTTTTATTTGGAAATAAATCAGAGGTTGGAGATTAGTGATTTGGAATACATTGAGCCTAGTGAATTGTAGATACTGACTTTAAAAGAGGACAGCATATATAATTTTGAGAAAAAGCTGATGTTTTGACAAGGTAAACAAAAGTCTAGTGAAGTCATTACCACATCAAAAAGTCTCCCTCTCAGAGACAGACACAATAGGATAAACTGGTTCTGAGCAATGTTGTTGGCATGCAGTTTCCTTATTGGAGTTTTATACCCCATTACCGATGCTCCAGATACCCACTGAGTGTCCAGTTAGGGCACAACGAACCAGGAACATTGAAATTAAAAAATGCAATTATATCATAAAAGTGAGAGGAGAGAAAAAAGAAACAGAAGAAGCTGTCAAAAGGGAGATAAAAGGCATTACTTGGCTGTGTGAAAACCTTGTTTCCTACAGAGAGATGGACCCATTGTAAGAGATAAGGAAATGAGATCTCTTTAAATCAAAAAGAATTATCCGTCCTCTTTTGATGCGAAGTAGTGTTTCTGGACTGAAGCAAGAGGTGGGGGAAATTTTCCAGCTATTTTCTTCCCATTCATGAATTCCATAACTGCCCCTTGTAGACCCTTAAATTCTCAAAGACAGAGCTAAGAAAAAGATTATTTAAAAGTTTCAAAATCAGAACATCGGAAAGTCTATGCAAGTAGAAGCCTTAAAATTTCTAAAATATGCAGATAAGATGAAAATGGCATCTATACGTTCCCTTTTCCTTTGGGAATCAGGTCAAGAATTTTCAGGTGATGCACTGACCTAATCTTCTAAGAAATGAGAACAATAATCAAAGGTTATTATATCACGCTCACTGGCAAAGTTAATTATTCTCTCACAAAATTGAAAAAGTGAGAATGAGACTCATATTGGATTTTCACCCTCCAATATCAATCATCCAAGCAGTTAAAATATGCTATTGTCAGATACCACAGAATTTAAATAATCTGATTTAACTTTTGAAATTTCAAAGGCTCCAACAGGATACAACTAATGAAGCATTTAATACACTCAAAGTAATTGAGGATTTAGTTCTAAAGAATCTGTGTCATCAGATATCATCAACTCCTGAAATCCTAAAGTTCAGCAAGGCAGAGACAGTAAATTCTGATAAACTGCTTAATCAAAATAACCACTTAAAATTGAGTAATGAAGTCTTGGGATATAAAAGTCCTTATCTCATAAGCAGTCACTGTAATTAACATTCAGTGAATAAACTATCTTAGTTAAGACTATTGGGGGAAATTTTACAAGTCCCCCAAACATAGATCAAGGGAAAACTGAATACGAGAACTGAAGAAGATCAGCTTTCACCCTGAATGGCTATGAAACGTGAGCACCGCCTACGTGTGAGGTCGTCTCCTCATTGCTGATATCTCAATCTAATGTTCAATGGACTGCAACGCCCATTGCCAGGTAGAAGCTGTATTAGGAAAGGAAGACAGGAAGTCAGAGAACACGTTATGCTTCCCTGGCAGAATCATCTTTGTTAAAGAATGTGAACATCAGTAACAAGCTAAGTAGCAGTTTGGCTGTGGTGGGGTGACATGAGAATGGGAGTCAGTAAACCTGTTTGAACCAAGTTACCTGCTAATGATAATAAGGATTGCTTCCAGGCATTGATATTCATACAGTCTTTACACTTCACAGACATGAAACGTGTCAGGCCTCTGCGCCCAAGCAAGCTAAGCCATCATATCCCCATATGACCTGGATGTATACATCCAGATGGCCTGAAGCAACTGAAGATCCACAGAAGTGAAAATAGCTTAACTGATGACATTCCACCATTGTGATTTGTTTCTACCCCACCCTAACTGATCAATGTTCTTTATAATCTCCCCCACCCTTAAGAAGTTTCTTTGTAATTCTCCCCACCCTTAAGAAAGTACTTTGTGAGATCCACCCCCTGCCCCCAAAACATTGCTCTTAACTCCACCACCTATCCCAAAACCTATAAGAACTCATGATAATCCCACCACCCTTGCTGACTCTCTTTTCGGACTCAGCTCACCTGCACCCAGGTGAAAGAAACAGCTTTGTTGCTCAACAAAGCCTGTTTGGGGGTCTCTTCACACGGACACATGAAACAAAAGGCTGGTTCAAAATTTCTAAGGAGCATGGCCTGATGAAGACAAGACTTGAATCTGATATGGCTGCCCCAAACCTGTGGTCATTCTACCCCTACCCTGTCAAAGGTTTTGACAACATAATATATGTGAAAGCACATAGTAGGTACTCAATACATGGCAATAATGTGTTTCTTACTTTCATCTTGGTTGTGTAGAAAGTAATTCTGGGGATACTAGGGAAGGAAAGAGAGAGAACAGGAGAGAAAGGCTGTGGTTTTATGCATCTACAAAAACAGAGGAGGATTGACTATAGTTCAAACCCTGCAGGATACAATTTGCAAGTGTTCCTCTTCCTAATCATACAAACATGGCCAGTGACAGGGTGCCTTGATTAAGTTCTGAGTCTCTGTCCTATGAAGAGGTCAGGTTTTTACCAGGAAGACTGTAGAGCATCATCCTACAGGAGGTGGGAAAGTACAGACATCCTGAACTCCATTCAGCTGTTGAATTGAGAATCCCTGTTTTCCACTGAAATTGAAAACAAACAAAACTCACTGGCTCTATAATGCAGCTCTTTAGAAAAGTGATTTGGGAATGGATTTTGGGTTGATTTCCCCCAGAAACTCTCTATTCCTTAGGGATAGTTAGATGAGTTGCAAATACACTAATCATTCATTCAGTGTTTCAGGATACTGAGATGAGTAGCCTGGTAGTAGCTGAGAAAACTAAGAGTTCCTCTGAATGCTTGATGCTCAAAGGAAAGACACCAGTGAACCTGGTAGATTGAAACAGAATCATCGACTGGCCATTCTCTACAGATGTTTCCATGAAATTCATTATACATTTTTTACCAAATGAAAATGTACAAGAGTTCGAAAATTCATACTTTCCTTACACAAATATGAAGTTTTCTGATTCTATTATTATCCTAACCAATTATTGTTTATTAGAAGATCCTAAATAGGAAGAGGTAAAATCAAGTGCATTCAACATAATCCACAAAAACATGGGTATGATTATAAGATCAGAAGGAAAAGAAAGGAAAAATACATATGGTTAGGAATGTTCCATGTCACACAGAGAGAAGAGCATACAATGTCCTTCTGTTCCACTGTTTCCTAAATAAAGTAAACTGGTGGCTGACTTGGGCCATATCACTAGTGTGAGATTTCCTTCATATTTCTCTCTGGTCACTATTAGAGCAACATGCTTGCTATCTTTCTGTGTAGAAGGTAGTTGTGTTTTTCCTAAGACAATATTCCATTCAGAATCATTAGCTTTCTAGCATCCATAATTTAACTATTTTATCCTTAGTTCATACTGGGGAGAATGAACATATGCCAAGCACATAGTGTTAACTTTTAGGACTATGTAAGTTTTTTGTTAATCTCTCAGTTTTCCTTTAGTTTCTTCATCTTATTTATTTACAGCAACTATTGAGAACATACACATTTATTTTTATTTATTTCTGTTCATTCATTACCTTATTACTTTATGCCAGTTCTCATTTATGAATCATTTTATTTTACTTAAACATAATATTGTCAAATTAACTTATTAGTTATTAAAACCTGGATTGCACAAAGCTGAAATCCATTTGGCCAGATGGAAACTTGTGTATTTTATAAATATCAGATAGAATTTACTATGTTGTTTTAAGCTTGCAAATATTTACTCATTACTATTCATATCAGTCAGTCAGTATATATTGGCTCTAGCTAAAAACTTTCTTTAAGTGGAACTAGCTTTGCTGATTTAAATGTGAGCTTCCATTGTTTATGGTATGAAGACGACAAGGCACTCGATTGACACGTGCAGTTCTTTTTGACATGTTTTTTCTTGATGTTTTCATTGCAACTTTCAAAATATTCTTTTATTCTCTGGGCAAATCTGACTATACAACTTGTAGGCAAAGCTCTTTCCAGGAAACGTTTTGAACAAGATTGGTTAGATCAAAAAACCCACTTTAGGACAATGTATTTTCCATGCAAGTGTCTGTTTCTCACCATCAACATGATGTATATTATAATTACAGTGACTTTCATTTGACTCATCTCAATTAACAAAATCATAAATTAGATGGAAAGTAGGAACCAATGCATCTGTTGACTTCCTCAGAGTCACACACTGAAGCAGATAAACTGGAAAAGGCAGCTCAGGCTGACAAGTGACACTCAGGACCACCACTCCCCACCTTGGGAATGTCACTGCTACTGGCAGGGAGAAGCCCCGGGCTACTCATTAGGACTCAAGAAAGGCCAGTGCAATGTACCCCATGGCTGAAGGCTCACGTGCTGCCTCCAGGAGCAGCATTAGAAGGGACCTACCCCCTCCGCAGGACACGGAGCACTCAGAGCGCACGATGGCCCAAGTGTAGCTGGGCTGGGCAGGGGGTTGCTTCTCGGCCCCCAAGCGAGGCATGGAGTATTCCCAGGCAACACCCGGGTTCCTTCCCTGAAACAGCAGCTACAAAATAAGAAAGGGGAAAAATAAAACAAATTAATGCAAAACAGCAAATACATGCTAACGTGCTTTAGACTACTTAAAATAATAATCAATCAACAGAAAGTTTATTATGATGATAAAATAAATTCAGACTATCATCCAAACTTTACATAAAATTTTTGAACAAGAATAACCCTCCCATCTAGATTCAAGCTCATCTAAAAAAATGTCTAGACTTTGTACCCTTCTCCTTACAGTTAGTGTATGCCTACATGTAAAACTTCAAACACTTTTGCAGCTTAGAAAAAGCATTTTTAGGTTAAAATTTTTTTATTGACACATAATAGATACACATATATTGGGGGTACCTGTGATAATCTGATCCAGCCTAACAAGAGCATTTGACTATCTCCCTTGGTGTTTCTTTGGGATCCTCTGCAAATCCCTGCATCTGAGCAAATCAGAAAGAGAGACCTACAAAGCGTCGTCACGCTTCCTGGTGAGTTCAAATAACCCAGGACATTTCAACAGCAATAGGTATGATCCATGCCTGACCAAAGTTAAGTTAGAGCACTTTCTACTGGGAGAGATGAAGGAGACTTTTGCCTACTGGCAGGTACCCATTAAGTCCACGGGAAAAGGTGTTTTATTAGTAAAGGAGATCACTGAGTCATAGTTTAGGGCATGGAATGGGTTTGGACTCTACATTTCCTAGCTTGAAACCCAATCATATGGACAAGCCACCATTCCTCTCATAAATGTATTAGATCCTTGAATCTCAGTTAGAAGACTTTTCTAGAAAACTCACCATAACCTGTTGACATAAATCCCATGCCTGCACCTGAGAGTCATGGCATCCTGATATGATGCCCATGCAGACCAAGATCCTCACCCTCCCCTGAGCACCCTGGCCCTATGCTCCACCCTCTGCCTGATGACACAGCTCCAGTCTCAGTGGTGCTGATGTTGTGGGACAGGTATATGCCCAGGACAGGGAGTTGCACTGCAAGGTCATTGAGATACTCTCCAGCCCTGACATTCTGATCCTCTGCAACTCTTCTTTCATTAAGAACAGTTTCCTAACAAGCCCCACTTATTTTAAACCTGGAGGCATCTCTCTTTCTCTCTTTCTCTCTGGTTGTTAAAGCTAAAAGCCTTAGATGGTGGGAGACATGATCAAGGAAAGAATTCAAGATAAATACGTTTAGAAAGGGGTAGAATGAAAGAGTTCAGGGGCAGAACAGGAGAGGGAAGTAGGACCTGTGCAGATGCAGCAGTTGCTCCACCTAAACCACACCCCGACTGCCAGGGGAGGCATCTCCCAGGAAGACACAAGAGGATGAGATAGAGTGGCCAGCCCCAGGGAATAGGTGGGGGTATCCAGGTGGCTGTACCTCCACAGCAAGGTGTAGGTCGATGGGGCAACTTTTGAACCAAGAACCTTCTTTCAACTGTGCACAGAAACATAACAAGGTGGGGAGTTAGAACATCCACTGCCCACCACTGCCATCTGCACAGTTGCATGTGATAGATGGTGTTGTCAGAATCTGACTATATTTTGCGAGCCTCTGCATTCACGAGTAAACAGAACTGCTCGGTTCAGGAGGTGACCCACCCACTGGACGCTGGGTTGATGTGACGGCAGAGATGTGGCCAGCCAAGGTCGATGCTGTGACACAGGCAGGTCATCACACAGCAAGGGGATTCGCCTCTGGGCTCTCTTCTCCTTTTGCCACAGAACACAGCAGAAATGCTGATCCCACCCTAGACACAGGCGAAGTCAGAGCCCACCTCCCTCCCTCAACAGTGGCCACTTCTCACAGCCGTCGAGCTTATAGGACAGAAGAAGGCTTCTGCAAACATCTACTGCTAAAACTCCCAAATGGGAACACAGGTGAGCACTTAAATACAAATGTAATCATACAACAAAATGTGAATGATGATAAAAACAAGTCTGCTGCCCCATTCCAGCTACGGATGGATCACTCTTTTCTATAACTGTTTACATTCCTCTTAAAATTATGCCAACAGCCATGAATTTCCACAAATACCAGAACACCCCCAAAATCTAAGCCCCAAAACCAAGAGGCTGGACTTTACCTCCACAATCAGTGTTTCATTGGTTGGTCCAGCAGCGATTAAGTTCTCGGGCTCATTATAGGACCGTCTGTAGTCGAAAGTAGTGCCTGAAAATTTGTACCGGCCGGGCCAATCCACGGTCCAGTGCCCATTCAAGTAGTACCTTCTGAGGGCATTGCACACAGAAATGTAGGAGGTAGAGACATTCATTTCATAGATGCGGATACTCCGGGCTCCAGAAGGAATGGTGACCATGTGATAATACTCTAGATAAAGGAAATGGGGAAGATACAGCTTGTCATTCCATAGGGCAGAATCTCGAAGCAACCCCAGTCCTCAGTAAACGAAACCTGAGAATCCACATTTGGAACTGGGGGAAGATGTGTTCTGGTGACCAGTCACCTTAGAACTATACCCGACTGCTTTTTATTAATTGGAGCAGAGCTCCTGTGATGTTCACTCTTCTTAAGAACAATTTTATTTCAAATAACTTAGCAACCACTTCCAATCAAAGCAAGAGGCTCGAGAAGCCAAGCGCTAGCTGAGGCAGGAAGTGAGGCAGTGGAAGGTAGGCCTGCTATTTTCACTGTCGCCTCCAGCTCCTCTGCTAGGAAGCCTCAGTTACAATCTTCTTTGCCCAAGGCTTGCAGGTAGCTCTAAAGTACTCACGGTTGGTGTGGTGGTGCTTGGAGTAGAGACCCCTGTGAATCGTGCAGGCTGAGTTATTCCCGTTACACACCCCACAGACATCTTCAACAGCATCAGATCCAAGGACATTGTCACATCCAACTCTCTGGAGGGCCCACGAGGTCACATGTCATTCATGAAAGAAAGGACAACACAGCAATACTGTCACCAATCTCACGCGAGAAACCTCCTCCCCACTAGAGTTGAAAATTTCACCAACGTAGGGTAGTTAACAAATATTTATTGGATACCTAATATGTGCACAGCGGGGCTACAGTGTCACCCTTCAAAAATGTAGGAAGCTTTTAAAATGTGAACCGTCACCTGTCCTCTTTAGTATTGTTACACAAGTGGCCCTAAATTAAATCTATAGGTTGTCATGTTGGAGTGATGGGTGAATTTCAGACTGACCTAAAGGGCTTAGTACAATGACAAGCAATGTGTCTACACAAGGTTCTAACAAAATATGCCATTGTGGGCTTTAATTGTCTCATGCAATGATAGAGAAGGAGCAGATGACACACAGAAATTCTCCTCAGTAGTAATTACATAAACAGCATGTTTATTCACTTCCTTAGAATTTTAGGAGCTCTTTAAAATTTCTCTGATGTTCATTTGTATTACACTTTCTAACAAAGAGAATAGGCTCTATATGTCAAAAAAAAAATCCACTCAGAAGCAAAATAACTACAATTCTTGGCTTGAAATCCACAGGGCCAGATGCATTTCAGAACTTAGAGTGTTTTTTTTTAATTTCAGAAAGGTAATAGATGTTATGTATGAAATGCATATGAGAATCCCACAAGGGCCTAGGTGGCATCGCATAATTAACTCGTGAATGTTTCTATAGTAAAGCCCTACATATTTATAGTAAGTGAGATAAATAAAACCAATCAATAGTCTCATATCAGTTCAGGAAAGGCTTTGCCACCAAACAAATTCAGGTACCCCCACCATTTTCACAGCTTTTTGGATTTCAGAGTTACAAATAAGGGATTATGACACTATATCATTAAGAATCCTAAATACAATAAAATAATGAACACATCAATTAACAATTAGACAAAATTGAGGACTGTACAGCTGAGGTACAATGAAAGAGATCTTAATGGAATCATCCAGCCTAACCCTCATGTATTAAAAATGATTACACTAAGGATCTCAGTAGATGACTGAACTTTACCATGGTCGATAATTTAGGGGAAGTGAGAACTAGAAAACATGTTTTTGGACTCCACAAGATATGCAGATTGAATAACTTCTTCATTTGAAACCCCATTGTCTACATGCAATGTGTTTGATCTGCTAACACCTTTGCTTGGTTTATAATAACATTTTTTCCACCCCTTCCCTCTGCCAGTCAAGGTAAGGGTAACATCAGTCACTTATGTTCATTTAGCCACCGACACTTCCCCAGCTTGTCTCCTGCGTCCCTGTCCGCCCGCCCTCCTCAGCGAATGTGTAGCTGCTGTATGTTGCTGAGGCCTCTGTCCGAGCTGCAAAGTGGCCCAGGCTCTCACCCAGCCCTGCTTCACTGACTCTCCACACTACTGCCCACAAACCGCAACCGAATCCTGTGGCTCCACTGTTCCCAGACTCAATACCTGCTCTATGTACATGGGCACAGGATCCCCATCCAGCCCTGGAGATGGCCTTGAAGACTCTCTTCTCATCCCAGCCCTTCCCACAGCTTCCCCCAGACCCCACTTTCCCTCTGGGCATTCTGATGACTGAATCAGCTGCTAGCAACCCATACATCTGGCACCACCACGTCCCCTCTCTATTTTCCTGACATCCCTCTTCCAACTCATCCTTTCAGATCTAGCTTGGATGTGGATGTTGCCTTCTCCTAGGAGCCCAACAAATGTCCCAGACCCACATCTAAGACAGAATGGGCCCCTCCCTCTCGTTATGCTCTGCACGCACTTCCACTGCTGCAAAGCAGCGTGTCATCAATGTGTTCTTCTGGCTTCCTCCCCACTGGGCTGTGACTTAGAGGGAAAGGCTTGTCTTATATGTCCGGTCTTTCTAGCTTCTACGGGATGCCTGACACAAAGCAGACTGTCTGGAATCATTTGTTGAATGAATGAAGGATCATGATTACCTCACATATCCCATCTATACAAACATTACGGCTATCCTCCGAGCATGGAGTCCCATCTTTGACTTTATTTGACAAAGAAAAGAAGAAATCAAATCCTTCTGCGATACAGTAGAGTTTGCATAAGTCCTGATCTTAAAAAGAAATACACACACAAACACAAATAAGAAAAATACTTAAGCTCTGATCATTTTTGCTCTGAATTTTAGATAGACTTTCTTTCTTCCCCCATAAAATAACTCCCACACAATAATACATTACAATGGCATTTTTAATGGTTGGCTTATTATGTTTTGTTTTGTTTCTTTAAATTTATTTATTGCTTCACTATTCAGTTTTACTCTATAGTGTCCTTTAAGACCTTTGATTTTTATACAGTGTTTGGCACATAGTAGGCATTCAATAAATATTTGTTGGCTACAACATTAATGCTTTACTGTTTTACTAGTATCATTAACTACTATCTTGTAGAAATGCAAAAAAAAATACCATTTTGTAGTAATACACAAAATTCTTACAGATAAAATGTAATAAAAGAATCAAAAACATCACTGAATTTCTTAATGCATTTGGTAAAATACATGAAAAATTAAACAAGTAAAAAGAATAACTTAGATGAAATCTCTTGAGAACAATGTTTTCTACAAATATATTGTTTTAAAATATTGGTACCTAGAGAAATAGGAAGTTTACTTCCTTCCTAAATAATCCATTTCAAGGTTTTTTGGTTTATATTTAATATGAACTTTTTTTTGAAACCATTTTGCCTCTTTTGTTCTCTTCTTAGTAAAAAAGGAGACAATTAATGATGAACATTTTGTCTGTCTTAGAAATATTTATAGGCCTGAGATTCATCTACAGGTATTTTCCTTATCATTCAAGATAAGAGGCACAACTGAATAATTCTAAGAATCAAATTTAGTGTGTGCTTCCATGATGAATGAGTTTATTCACTAAAGATTGGCAGTCAGGAGGAACGCACGCACGTGTTTGAACCATGATTTCAAAGTTCATTCTACCTTTCTCTCTCCCTAGCGGCCTGTATCACACTGGCTTCATTTGTACAGATTTAGGAGTAAAGGGACAACTAAACGTGCTTCGGGGAAATTGCTTGTAATTTCCTTTCAGAATTTTCTAACTGCATGAACCTGACACTGTGAAAACACTGTATACACTGAGATGATGAACGTGAATGTCAGATGGGACATCCCACTTGTCTATGTCCAAAGGGCTTCTGTCATTTTTTCAGGCAATGTTCCCAGTTTCAAGCAATAAGATGATTAGGTTTTCTTTGAATTTCTCCTTAATTATGCCACTTGAGCTACTGACCTTAAGTTATTTTAATCACGGAAACAGACTTATTTCTTTCCCAGTGGGGAGCAAAGTCTTATACACGCCACAAATAAACTTCTTGGTTTATAGTTATAGATCAATACTTTCTGAACATAGTATGCTTCAAAATTATTCCATTTTCTAAAATATACTGAAATTTCTCTTTCATTCTTTGACAATTATAAGTATTCAATGGGTAACTGGCTTATAGCAACAACTACTGTAATTCTTAATTCATCAACTACTGTAATTCTTAATTCAAAAACATACAGATTCAATTTCCACACAGGAGCTATCTTGTATTTTTTTTATCACTTCTTTGATGAGTTTCATTGTACTATGCACACCCTTTCTATGTGCTGTGTTGATTTCTGACCTCACAATTGGTCAAGTTTAGATAAGAGGTCATGACAGTGGGGTTGGCAAAATAAAACTAACCTCCAGAAGAGAACATGTGACCCTCACCTCCCAGAGCGACATCTGGTTTATTTGTGCACCACACTGTCAATCATGTACTTCTTTAGAAAGTAAAGGTGGTAAAGCACAAGGCTTATTACCCGAAAGCAGTTTGAGATTTACCTTCCACCTGAGTGTAAGGCTTCCACTTGTAGTGCCGCCCTCTGAATCGTCTGCTGTTGTGCTCGGCACACTGAGCGGCGCGGAAGTCAACACTGTCCCGGGGACATTTCTGACTGTTGCAGAGCTTCAGAGTGCGAGTGGAGCCCTCGCAAAACTTCCCTCCATGCGACGGCCTGGAATGTGTATTTTGAAGTCAGAATTTTCATATTTGAGTAGCTACTTACATTATTTCAAATTAGGCTTACTGGAGAGATGAAGCTAAGAGTGTTAGAGCGGGTACTTAGGGAAAGTGGATTTCTTTTTTTTTTTTGAGACACCCTCACTCTGTTGCCCAGGCTGGAGTGCAGTGGCACAATCTCGGCTCACTGCAACCTTCACCTCCTGGGTTCAAGTGATTCTCCTGCCTCAGCCTCTCGAGTAGCTGGGACTACAGGCATGTGCCACCACGCCCAGCTAATTTTTGTATTTTTAGTAGAGACAAGGTTTCACCATGTTGGCCAGGATGGTCTCGATCTCTTGACTCCATGATCCACCTGCCTCAGCCTCCCAAACAGCTGGGATTACAGGTGGGATCCACTGCGCCCAGCTGGAAAAGTGGATTTCCAAGTGGTCAAGAACACATTCTTGCACACGAATGGTAAGGTTGTGCTCCCTTTTCCATTGAGTGAATCCTTTACAAGACCAGATAATGAAAATGTGGTACATATACACCATGGAATACTATGCAGCCATAAAAAAGGAAGAGATCATGTTGTTTGCAGGAACGTGGATGGAGCCTGGAGGCTATTTCCCTTAATAAACGAATGCAGGGACAGAAAACCAAATACTGCATGTTCTCACTTATAAGGCAGCGCTGAATGATGAGAACACAAGGACATATAAAGCGGAACAACACACGCTGAGGCCTGTTGGAAGGTGGAGGGTGGGAGGAAGAAGAGGACTACAAAAAATAACCAATGAATACTAGGTTTAATCCCTGGGCAATGAAATAATCTGCACAACACACACCCACGACACAAGTTTACCTATGTAACAAACCTGTACTCTATCCCTGAATTTAAAATGAAAGTTAAATTTAAAAAATAAAAAATCAAAGCCTCTTTACTTCCCCACATTGGTGATGCTTCTCACATTCATTCTTACTTCTTAGAGAAGCTGGAAATTAAACCACTTGCTGTGAAGGGAAATATATTTGATGGAAAACTAAAAATTTGTTTTTTTCTGCATACAAAAATTGTTCTTATTGATCTTATTTATTTGTGTTCTATACACTTTTCTTATGATTTATTTGTTTTAATCAGATCCTTGGTATGTCAAGTAAATGTGGTTAAAATCCAATTCCTGAATATTACTGTTGGTGCTGTTATTTTTTGCTGTGGTCAGGTAGTTAGAAGCATCTTAAGTTATAGCACAGAGAGGCAATTAAGAAATGCTTGAGTGAAATACCTTTCCTACTCAGTGCTTCTTAAAATCATATGCATAGCACAGACTTACTATTAAGAGCTGAGACCAGGCGTGATGGCTCATGCCCATGATCCCAGCACTTTGGGAAGTCAAGGCGGGTGGATTACCTGAGGTCAGGAGTTCGAGACCAGACTGACCAACATGGTAAAACCATGTCTCTACTAAAAATACAAAAATTAGCAGGGCGGGTGGTGGCACCTGTAGTCCCAGCTACTCGGGAGGCTGAGGCAGGAGAATAGCTTGAACCCAGGAGGCAGAGGTTGCTGTGAGCCAAGATCACACCACTGTACTCTAGCTAGGACGACAGAGCAAGACTCCATCTCAAAAAAAAAAAAGAGAGAGAGAGAGAGCTGAGACACAGGCATACTGCTTGGAGGGTTGATGGCATGGAAATTGTCATTTGTGCGGAAGGAGGTCAAGGCATACTTACTTGGGGTTGGTGCAGAGGCGACTCCGATGAGACACTCCCCCTCCGCAGGTCCTGGAGCATGGGGACCAAGAAGACCAGTCTGACCAGTGGCCATGGGTGGGCTTGGGGCCTTCATCACCATATTTCACACACTGTCCTCCCCGGCACCACTAAAATTTTCAACATAAATAAGTTGACTTGACTCAGACAGATAGGTAGATGGGTTCATCTCACCACTGCTATAAGGCTGAGTAGTGGGAAAATTTGCAAACTATGCAGATGTTAGCCTCCCTACCCTCAAGTAGTACCTAATATAAATACAGTACATTCAATGTTGTTTTTTTCCTTTCCAAACCTAGCATCCTCCTATAAATTTATATACAGGGAAGATGAATAGAAAAATCATTTTCAAATGTCTGCTTTCCTGGAAACTTAACACATTTAATGAAGGAGTGTTATCTGAATACTCAGTCTCACTGTTTAACTCCCAAGTCAGCGAACTCTGACCTGTCCTGAAAACAAGGTGCTTTTCACATCTCATGTTCAGAACAGAGAGAGTCTCAGGTAGGAAAGCACAGCTGGGGGCTCCACATGGCTCAACACCTTGTCATTTCAGGCCAGTGCTCTGTGCTTTCACCCCAAAGCACCTGGGCTCAGAGCCTTGGGACGATTAACCGATGCCACGTTAGAGGTCACGCAGCTTCCAGGGCGATGAAGCAATCCTTGTGGAATTTCATCTCTCCCCACGAAGGCTGGAGATGCTATCTGTTCCCCTTTCTCCAGAGAAGTGCTCATTCGTTTTAATTCATGCTAAATTCCACGTAGCAAATTCACTGCACCACATATCAGCGCTATGCACTATTTTACATGGTGTCCAACAGTGGTGGTTCCCTGGGTAGTTTGGTGTGGACTTCTAAGATCTTAAAGGTCCAGACTGTCTGTTGGGAGGAAGAAGGAAGATGTTTGTCCCTTGTCCTGGCCCCGGTGGAGTGAGAAGAACTTGGCCTGTGGGCTGGGGAGACCTGAAGTCAAGTCCCTTTTTACCTCCAAGTTTAGAGCCACTAGATTTGTACTGAGAGAGAGAGAGAAAAAAAAAAGGCTACTTCCATAGGAGGAAAGTAATACTTCTATTATTAAATGATATATTAGGGTAACACATATCAAGACACTGATATTTGACCAGTGTTGCCACATACTATGGCAGTTCAAATGGCTCCATTTAATGCTATTTAAGTAAGAACAATTCAATTTAAAAACAAGAAATTCTGAGGAGTAAAGCCTCATCCATTCAATTCTTCAATTCTTTTCTTTAAGCACAACAACATTATCTTTTCCATCCCTACCTGCCCTCCCCCCAGGTGTAGACCAAAGTCCACTGTCTTAGGCTCAAGGAGAAGCCCATTGCCGGGAATAGGCTCCTACTCTTAGACAGCCTCCAACAGGCGTGGGGACAGGAGGGAGGTTGCACTGGTTGTGCAGAGAGGAAGGAGCTGCCAGGTGTGTGCTACTTGTCATTGTTGTTTATTTTTTTCCCTTTCTTAAAACCATCTGATCATAGCTTTCTAATGCAGGAGACATGAAACATGAAAACAGAATTTCAATAGGTTGAATAACTCTGAAAATATTTCTGGGAAAATCTGTCTTGGTTCGAAGATGAACAGGATTTGAAGCCCCAGAATGAGGTCAGGTTAGTGGAAGACAGGAGTGCTGTCTCGAAAGCAGGATGTTTATCAAAGAACCACTGTTTTTTTACCAGGAATCTGTGAGCAAACTCAATGTACATCATAACATCGTTGTTGATTTACTTTGCTGTTGTTACTTGGCAAAGTTCACAGACTCAGAAAGGGGTACTGGCATGGTAATAGCTTTCACTCTTCTGTTTTTGTAAAAAGCTTATTTTTTAATGAAAGATTTAAAGATACACACAAGTAGAGGAAATAGCACAGGAGTCCTTGAAACCTGTGGTCCTGCCTCAACATTTATTAACTCATGTCCAGTCTCATTTCACCTAAATGCCCGTCCACTTTCTCTCTCCCAACACTGACTCCCAGACTTGAAACCATTTCTTCAAAGCTCTTTCACGAAGGGTTCCCCAAATTAAGAACGTTAAAAAACATAACCACAACACCATTGTCACACCTAGAAACCTACAATCAGTCCTTAATATCATCAAATGTCTAATAAGTGTTCAAAATTCCAATTTGGTGTTTTTTTATTTTTCTTTCAGTTAACATAGAATCACAATCAAAACACAGTTCATTTATTGCATTCAGCCGACATGCTTCTCATGTCTCTCTCCACATTCCAACTCTCCCTTGATGTTTTCTTTTTCCTGAATTCATGTGATAAAGGAATGGATCTGTTTGTTGGGAGTTTCCCATACTCTTGATCTTGCTGGCTGTGTCTCGGGTTCCCTAGATCTGCTGCAATCAGGCAATTGGATCCAAGGCGTTGGTAAGGTTCAGAGTTGGATTTTTGGCAAGACTGAACCATTGATGGCTTTATGTATATGCACACAGAATGCCTGGTAAGGCCTCCAGCGTTGGTGTTAGGATGCTTCAGTATTCAGGGAATATAGGCTGACTGGCGAAGGTCCCCAGCTTCCCAACTAATACTTTTAGCAGCCATTAACAATCATTTCCTAGATCCTTTACATCTTTGAGTGTTGCAAGACTAATGATATTCTAAATCTTTTCTTTTTCATGATTGTCTGGATTACTTCTTTTAAGAAAAAGCAACCTTCATCAAATACCTCGGTACCCTGAGTTTGAGATTGTACAGGAAAACCATGATGCTTCTCTCTAAAGAATAAAAAAAAATATGCTAATGTCATGTTTCTTTTGGAAATGTTGCTTGAGCTTCCTCTTGACAGGAGCCAGACATCTTTGGAAGGCTTCTAGCTTTCTGACTCAGCGAGGTATCCCAGGCTCATCTTGTACATTCCTTGTGTGGGGAACGGGTGCTTGGTGTTAAAAAAAGTCAACACTCACCGAGACAAAGGATCTCTCAGCAAGGCTAGTTTACTTTCTGCAGAAAGGGTACACTTGCCAGCAGTTTTGCCACCAGAGTACACCGAACAAAGGATACAGGGTCATTTATAACCTGACACATCCACCCTACTGCAGTGTCCAGTTTCCATTGGCTGGAATGGGATCTCACATTCTCTATTTGTCCCAATTGGTTAGCAACTTAGAACTTCTTAAAAGAGGCAAAGGCAGAGGAGAACAAAGGAAGGAGGAAGTAACTGTGGAATGCTGAGAAAGGTAAAAGCGCCTTCAAATAAGGAAGAGGAACAGGCTATGATAGCCTAATGCTTGCTTGAACCAGTATAAGCATGCCAGGGCAAATACTTAGGCTAAAATGTGGGAGCTAAGAACACAGAGTACATTGATTTCTTTATTACGGCTAGCAGATATCTAAGAATGTTAGCGCGGGTCTTTGAATAAATTGTGCTTCTAAGGGAAGTTACTATTTATTCCTAATTAGATGGGGAGAGAAGTCTCTTTGAAGAGGAACTTCTACTGCACTTTTTACACTTGTTATAGGCCTGGAATCATCCATTTACATAAGAAGTTCTGGCTCCTTTTATTGAGAAAACGAGATTAAGAGGTTGTAGCCTCTTTAAAAATTTTAATTTTAATTTTTTCTTTACATTTTAATTTAATCTTTAAAAATTTTAATTTTAAAGAAAAAATACTTCATTAGTTCTTAGAAATGTATTAATTTTAAATTTATGACTATAAATGTTACTTAACTTCTTTGATTTTATATATGTATCTCTTTTATATATTAAAAATCTTGATTCTTAACAACATAAGCACATTTAGTACTTCCTTTATCCTAGCAAAATAAATCCATCAACAATAACGTGATTACTGAAAACAGTTTAAAATTATTTGTAGCATTTTTTTTCTCCACTGAATCTATCCCATTTGGAATGCACAGACTAATTACTGGAGTTTAAAGTCTCTTGAAATAATTCCTCTGTTAGGATTCTGGTTAAGCCAACAACTTAATACATTAGGTCAAAATGTTTCATTCTGCCTTTGATGTTTAGGGATTATTTAATAGCATTTTAAGTTATCTAAAATAATTACAAGCTTTTCAGCATTTAGGGTTTATTCTTTTTAAAGTAAGCAAATAGCTATTGATTAGTATTTACTTTTCTTTGATAAATGACAGCATAATACTCAGATGTTTTTCCATCCTACTTTTCCACTTAATTTGTTCTGTACATCATTCCACAGAAGTACATAGACACGACCCTCATCACATTTTTACAGATACATAATATTCCACAGGGTGTTTATCCAACTAGTCCTCTATCGATGGTTATTTGCAGTATTCCAGTTTTTTGCTGTGATAATGACTGTTGCAATTCCTTGTATTAGGCTGATGCAAAAGTAATTGCAGTTTTTGCAGTCAAAAGTAATGAGAAAGGAAATAGCAAAATATGCATGTATTAAGTCAATGCAAAAGTAACTTCGGTTTTTACATCTTTTGCTATTTCTGTTAGAGTATACTTAAATGATTTTCCTAATTTTAAAAAGTATTAAAACAAAAAAACTTTGAGAATCTGATGAGAAAGCACTATATCTTCTGCTAAGGGGGTTGTGGGAAATATAGGTGCATGTAGACACACACACACACACACACACACACAATATTAGATCTAATTTTAGGCAGATAATAGATGGGTGAAGCCATCAGGTCAAGATTAAGAATGCTATGTTAAATATACATACAGATTTCCACTGAAATACCAATTAGGTTTCTTAGGACTGACTTTATCACAGTTTTGTATCTTATTGACAGATACTGTGACTTATGAAAAAGGCTTTATCTTAGAGAAGAAGATGCCACAACAAAGTGCCTATGCCTGTGGCGATTGCTGCTCACAAAATAAGCACGTCACACTTAAACGCAGCAGATGCAGGGGAGCAGCGTAACGCAGCAGATGCAGGGGAGCAGCGTAACGCAGCAGATGCAGGGGAGCAGCGTAACGCAGCAGATGCAGGGGAGCAGTGTAACGCAGCAGATGCAGGGGAGCAGCGTAACGCAGCAGATGCAGGGGAGCAGTGTATTGAAGCAGAAAAAACAGCACTGAGTCATCAAATGCGCATCACAGATCAGCTCTGCGAGCTGTGTGACCTGGGGAAGGCACCCAGGTACTCTGAGCCCCGTGTCCTCTTCTGAAATTAGGGATGATAGAAACTACCAGAATGAGTTCAGAGGGAGGGTTCAATGTAAGGACTAGGCCAAGTGCCTAGCACTGGACCTGATGGAATCACACAGTGAGAGCTGGTTTGATTTCACAAGAGGGGTCCTCAGTGACCGAAGAGCTAGAATCCTTCAGGCATGCATCTCAACTGTGGCCCCTGCCCCTTGCCCTGGATTTCTCCTGGGGTGATCACAGAGGAACCCAGGGCCTTTCCCAAAAGAGCTCTGCGATGTCCAGTGGGGACTGCACTAGGCTACCTGTAGGGCTGCTTTGAGGATGAAATATACACAATGCACTAAATTTAGCATTTGGCATTAAAAATGAAATAAATATCAGTCTATGTTACCACCTCATACAACCACTGTGGAGCCTCAGCAGCATCCTTAGTAGCGGAGAGAGGAGACGGGGCCCCATCAAGAAGAACAACATTGGGATACTGACTGCTGGCCACACACACATCTAAACTGATAAACCACAGGGGCACATGCAAACCAATGACAATGACACACAGACACACGACTAATATCAAAAGGGACTGTTTACGTGAGACTTGGATGTCTTACATGGTTTGGCTGTGTCCCTACCCAAATCTCATCTTGACTTGTAGCTACAATTCACATGCGTCATGGGAGGGACCCGGTAGGAGGTAATTGAATCATGGGGGTGGGTCGTTCCCATGGTGTTCTCATGATAGCGAATAAGTCTCATGAGATCTAATAGTTTTATACATGAGAGTTCCCCTACACAAGCTCCTCTCGCCTGCTGCCATGTAAGATATAACTTTGCTTCTCCTTTGCCTTCTACCATGATTGTAAGGCCTCCCCAGTCATGTAGAACTGTGAGTCCATAAACCTCTTTCCTTTATAAATTATCCAGCCTCAAGTATGTCTTTGTTAGCAGCCTGAGAAAATACAATGTATGAAAGGAAAATAAAATCTCGGAACTTCACACTCACTATACCAAAAGGAAAAGTTAAGCTTGAGAACTGGGTCGTGCAAAAACCACCTCCCATTTTGTTTCTAGAGAGCTGTGAAGATGGAAGGCCACGTGTCTCCACGGGCGGCCTCCCTCACAAATTACTCACAAGGAAATTCTTTGTGGGCCTCCAAATCTTTACCCCAAAACAGAGCTCTGTTGAATTTCACCATGACCATGTGAATTAATGAATTAATTTCACCATGACCATGTGAATTAATTATCTTCACAGATACAGGACAAAGACAAGACTAAAACTTACCTCTCCACCCACCCCAGACAAATGCATATGTGCCTGCTTCCTCGACTCTGTTTTCTTTATCCTCACAAATCCTCAATCTCCACTCACATGTAAAATGTGGATTCAGTGAGTGTTGACTGAAGCTTCAAAAGAATGTACCTGCTGGCCTCATTTGCCTACTCTCCCCTCTTTTCTTCTTTCCTGCTTTCCTTGCTTCTCTTTCCTTTGTTTTTGTTTTTGTTTTTTCTTGTTTTTGCTTTTGTTTTTGTTTTTTTGGTTTTTTTTGAGACCAACTCTCCTTCTGTTGCCCAAGCTGGATTGCAGTGGCATGATCTTGGCTCACTGCAACCTCCATCTCTGGGTTCAAGCGATTCTCCTGCCTCAGCCTCCCGAGTAACTGGGACTACAGGCGCCTGCCACCGGGCCCAGCTATTTTTTGTACTTTTAGTAGAGACAAGGTTTCACCATGTTGGCCAGGATGGTCTCGATCTCTTTACCTCATGATCTGCCCGCCTCAGCTTCCCAAAGTGTTGGGATTACAGGTGTGAGCCACCAGGCCTGGCCTCTTTCCTCTTTAAATATTGAAGTCATCAAAGTCCTCTTTGGAAAGAGCAGGGGTCACAGGTGCCCCTGTGATTTTTGTCCCACCCCCTCCTAGAGCACATCCTCAACTTTGGAAAAGTAAACCTCTACATTCATTGAGATTTGCCTCAGTTATTTGCTTTGACTTACAGAGTCCCACATTGGCCACTGAACAACCAAGTACCCTGGACAGAACACTTTATTGCTTTGGACCATGGTTCAGCTGTGTAATTTGTAGGAACCTACTCTATGTCAATAGAGCCTTTTTTTTTTTTTTCAGTAAAAAGGAAAAAGCTATATTTGAAATACAAGGGAAAATAATGTCAAATATCAATGGAAATTAATTTAATGGTGCTTTTGAGATAAATAAAATGTAACCAGAACATACAGGTTATTTTGAAAGAGCATCACAACTACATTACCTGGGAAAAAGTAGCACCTGACCACAAACAAAGCAGGATGCCTGGAGAACCACCTCCCGTTTCATGCAGGCAATAGCTCAAGGGCAACGTCAAAAAAGCTGTTGGTCTTTTAAGAAATAGGCATAATTTTGCAAATGACCACCTGAGGAATCCATTTTAATCAACGACAGAAGAAAAGTCATGATTATCTGCAGCATAACATTCAAGTAAATTACCTGATGTCCTTTGACAATTAGAACTTCCACGCCATATCTCATTATACTCATTTTCTTTCAAGAAACCGAAAGCATTGCTATTACATTACGTATTATGGATTAAATCAACTGTATCACTGGATCACTAGCAGAATTCAATGAATTAGAAGAATTCAATGATCAATCTCATGCCCTTTGAGGAACTGAAAAAAAAGCATATTAGCAATGTGCCCAGAATGAATGGTGGCTGGGGGCTATTCTCAATAAGTTTATCTTATTTCTGTTCATTTCTTCAGTTGGCACTGCAATAATTTAACCTGAAAACATGTGGTAGCGTTGTTGTCAACATTTTAAAACCTTTCTGTCTGTAGTCACATTTGAATATGTATAAGATGTGATGTATTTTCTTTGGTATTTAAACATAATAGAACAATGGTATTTAGGCATGTTCAAATACTGTACTAGATCAATGCCTAAATATCATTTCATATTCACTAATGCCACTAAAAAACTCAGATACATAAAAAGCAAAAATACTTATAGTGATAATTTGGGTCCAGGATCTTTCTTTCTTCATCAATAGTCTTTTACATTTAAAAAATGCAATTACAAGTTAAATCAAAAGAATTAAAATATTATTATGGAGTATTATGATAATCTTTTAAAGTTTTAATAATGAAATTATCATTCTTTACCATTTAGTAATAAACTTGTTATCCTGTATACTTTCTTTTTTTTTCCGACTTTTATTTTAGGTTCAGGGGTACATGTGCAGATTTGTTACATGGGGAGGTTACATGTCACTAAAGTTTGGCACTCGAATAACTTCATCACCCGTGCAGCGAGTATAATATGGGATACTTTTTCAACTCTTGCCCCCTCCCACCATCCCCCCTCAAGTAGTCCCCAGGGAATATGGTTCCCATCTTTGTGTCCACGTGTACTCAGTGTTTAGCTCCTGCTTATAAGTAGCAACATGCAGTATTTGGTTTACTGTTCCCGCATTAGTTTGCCTAGGGTAATGAACGGCCTCCAACTGCGTCCACATTGCTGCAACATCTTGTATACTTCTTCTTTTCTCTACCATAGCGCCCTCTCTTCTCACAGGGGCAACAATAGGTGAAAATGACGTGCTCCAGGGTCTTCAAACTGATGTTCTGTGACTTTCACAGCACTGTTTAATGCTGTTCCTTTCCATGATAAATGGTCGTCAATGGCTTAATGTTTCCCTTCAATAGACTGAATCTGTCATCACCTATTGTCTGATTTCTGTGTCTATGAATTCCAGGTAGCTCATCAATTTTATTTTCACAAAAGTGAGAAAAGGATTCCTCTTCACATTATCAATATAAAATAAACACAGTGTTTGATAGGAGCATGGGTATGCATATGTATATGAGAAATATATGTTTTAAAAATACCTATGCAAGACGAGTAAAGATGCATGGGTTGGAAGACTAGCATCTGAATACGATGCTGTACCTATAGTTAGCTTCTTACCATGTCATGCCCACAAATAGTGCCTTCTGCTGCTGGCATAAATTTAGTCTCACATTTCCTTCCAATACGATGGCACCACAGGGCTTTACAGATGTCCTAAAGAAATTTTTTAAAAGGTCATTAGGATTACATCATATTGTCCATTCATCTACAATAAAAATATCACTGAGAGATTTAAGGTGAAAACAACAGATATAATTTACAAGCAAATGCCTACTTAGCAATATGATAGCATATAATAGAGTGAGGAGTAAGGAGACTCATGTTCTAGACTTGGTTCAAATTAATTCCATCTCTTATACTTTGTTTTATTTATATATTATCTATTTAACAAAATTATATTTTAATTGTAAAATATGCTTAATTCAGACACTGCAGAAAACTATGAAAAGTTAAAAAACCTAAACTTAATATTTCATAATGTATCCTTCTCAACCCCACCTTCCATGAATCTCTCCAAGTCTGAATTCTTATTTTTAAATTAAGAACGTTTAGGACGCTTGTTAGCTTGTCCATCCATCCATCTGTCCATCTATTTATCCATCCATCCATCCATCCACCCATCCATCCATCCATCCATCCATCCATTAATCCATCCATCCATCCATCCAACCATTTCACCATGCATCTACCATCCCCAAATCTGTGATTAAAGCTTAAAATATGTGAGGCATCTTGCCAGGCAAGAGGTTCCATTGTGAATATGACCCTCTTTGCTTCTTGGTTTTCATAGGGTAAAGAAGGAATTTGCCGTAAATCACCAATTAGTGCATACAGAAAGAGATGCCCCAGTGATAAAGATTTATAAACTATAAAAGACTCTCCAAGTGCAAGGAATTGTTTTTACTGAGTTCAAAGGAATGTCTCAATGAAGGGCAAACAGTAGGACTTGTGAAATGATGGAACCTTCTGGAATGCTGGTGGTAGACTCAACTAGACATGTTGAAAACATTTCTTAAATTGTCTGCACAACTGTTCAGAATATTTAAACAAGTGCTGCATTATTCCCCAATAAATTACATGGCTGCATCTACTGGGTGATTCATGTTATGAGGAAAATGCAGGCAGTGAAGCACATCAACGTAGTGCAGTTGGGAAGATGGCACTTTGCTGCATGGTGATCTCACTCCATATTTCAACCATGTGAAAAGAAGGTTTTCTGCATTGTGTGAGTCATCTCATGAAGGGTTTTAACACTAGTTCTTAAATCTCCTGCATGTATTTCATTATATACTTAGAAGTTAAGGTACTTATTAAAGACACAGCTTCATATTTTCCCTGGCTGTATCTCCTTCACTAATAAACCAGATTTCGGAGCTTGAAATATTAACAAGTAAACATTCAGTGTTTTAATTCAGATATCAATTGCTTTCATATTGTGCTATGGTTTAAAATCTCATATAGTTACAATCACTGTGCAATTAAATGTCATGATCTTTTGCGTCCCCTGGGATCCTCGCCCTTGTGGTGTGTTGTGTTGACGGCCAGGGCTTTGCCTGGCTGAGGTCTTTGTCAGCAGGGAACAGACAGTGATGCTCCTATGGCTGCTCCCATGAAGACTGCTGCTGAGCACCCTGGTTTGCTCTCCTTCAGACAGGCTTTAATTATGTTCATTAGTATATGGTGTCAGGGGCCTCTGTTCTTGGCCAGAATGGTGTTTAGAGATAAAAAGTGTATGCAGAAACCAAGGAATCCATGAATTCAAGGGCTCTGAATGTAATTCTCCAAGTAGACAACTGGACAGTTCTATTTGCTTGCAGGAATGACAACTTGATAGAATGCCAGGATAAAAATAAACTTCCTTAAAACCACAGCCTGTGCACACCGGCTCGATGTCTGGGTGGCAATATGATAGGTCAGAACCGGAGCTAGGGAGAGAGGTGGGGCAGCCCCTGGGTGGCTCACAGAGACCTCCTGGACTGACGGGGCATAGAGACCTCCTGCTTCAGGAGGCTGAGCACACATACCTAAGGAATGAATGAATGAGTGTGAAAGCAGATTCCTTCATACTGAATGAATGAATGAATGAATGAATGAATGTGAAAGCAGAAGCTGCTCGTGTGGTTGTGTGATCTGGGAGATGGCCACAATGGTCTAGTAGAGTTTGGGATTCCTAGGCAGACAAGCAGATCCAGTGTAGATTTTGCAGGCAGATCTGGGCAGGCAGGACCCCTGAGTCCTCAGTGTGCACATGAGGATAACAACATCGAATCGTCGACTTGTCCTGGGGGCCAAATGCAGTGGTTATAGGTAATGTGTTCAGCTCAGGGCCTGGCACCCAAAGTAAAGGCACAAAGGCACTTCACATTTCCTTTCTCACTTTAAGGGCTCGAGGAGACAATGGCACAGGTCTCCATCTGCATTCAGGGCTCTGCCGTGTGACTACTGTGACCTTAGGGAGCTAGGGTCCTCATTCACAGGGCTGTTTCTAAGACTACTCAAGATAATACAAGGTAAATTGTGTTTTAAAATGTTAAATTTTTTTACTACGTTCCTTATCATTATCTGGTACAGTGCTTGCTACTCATCTTTCAATAAATGCTTTCTGGGCACATTGAATATGTACTCATTTGCTCCTGTAAAAACCAGTGACAGAGGACCAGGAAAACTTTACGTACAATAACATTAGCAAGAATCAGGAAACTGTGATCATAAAAAGCCAAAGATGACTTAAGATGACCACGATTCAGACTACCATTCAGAGTAATTTCAGAATATTCTTATGTTGTAGTTTTGGGGGAGCATTTTGCAGAATAAATACTGACGAAGATACTGTTAAAGGGATGGGCTTTCAACTTTTTAAAGTATAAAGCCTTCAAATATAGGATGCTGGTGACAGCTCACTGCCAAATCATGTGGCTCTCTAATTCAGTCTGTGACTCGGCTCATGCCATCTCTGTTTTTCAGCCTCATTTTGGAGCCTGCTCAATCCCCAACTCCAGTCCTCAAGGCTGGAATAAATCACAAAGTTAGAAGAAACTTGAAAATCACATAACCTATGGTATTGTCTTTCGACATTTAAAACATCATTTGGGACCTTGATATCCTATAGATGTACTTCCCTGCCATTTAATAAACATGACACTCTGTCCCAGACAAACAAACAAAAACTATAGTGTCTTAAAGAGTTGTGATGACAAAATAAAAATAGTGTACATTCTCACTCACATATGGAAGTGAAAAAATGGACTTCATAATGGTGGAATGATGGTTACCAGAGGCTGAGAAGTGTAGTGGAGGGGGATGGGAGGAATAAAGAGGAGTTGGTTAGTGGGTTCAAAAATACAGTTAGATAAAAGGAATAACACCTAACGTTTAGTAGGACCATAGGGTGACGATAGTTAAGAATTTATTGTATATTTCAAAATAACTAGAAGAGTGTGATGTTCCTTACACAAAGAAATGATGAACATTTAAGGTAAGGATATTCCAGTTTCTCCGCTTTGAACATTACACATTATATGCCTGTACTGATATGGGAGGGGGCAGGGAGGTGCTGAGTAGAAAAGGCAGGGTCCCTGGAGAGGACTCCACCCTCAGACCTGTGCCCATAGACCTAAGTGAGAACAGACACTCCTGTTTTCATGCCCAAATGTGACATTTTCCAAGACTACTCTGGCCTGCCATGCCCCTGATCCTGTGCCCACAGAAACCTGAGATCTTAATGGGCACACACAGTGGCTGAACGTGGTCAAGAAAAGCAGAGGAACAGACCAGCAGACACCAGCAGACTGGCAGACCAGTGACGGCGGAAAGATGAATGACGCAGCAAAGGAAGAGAGGAGGGATGTCTGGATGCTAAGGGGAATTCAGCTGGGGGCAGCCAGAGAAGGGTCTGGCCACTGGGCAGCCTGACTCCTGGGGAAGACCATCTTCCCACTCCATCCTGCTCTTCCGGTTCCCCATCTGTCTTGCTGAGAGCCACCTCCATCACTCAGTAAAACCTCGCACTCATCTTCGAGGCCACGGGGGTGACCCAATTTTTCCAGTACACTGGGAGAGAGCTTGGGATACAGAAAGCTGTCACACTGGTCCGCTGCCCTTGGAATAAGGCAGAGGGTTTATCGAGCTGGTTAACACAAGTCGTCCACAGATGGCGAAGCTGAAGGAGAGCACGTAACACATGCCCACTTGGGCTTTGGGAGTTCTGGGAGTTGCAGACACCACTCCTAGAGGCGGCCGTGGGGCCGAAGCCCAAGAGTGCTCCCCATAGTCTCTGTACCTGCCTGTCTGCATGCTCCCCCTAGGGGTTTGAGCAGAGGGGTGCAGAGGAGTGAGCCACAACCCTGTTGCATGTCCTGCAAGAAGGAAAAGGGAACTCTTCTGTTTTAGTATCAATGTATTACAAGTACCCCATAAATATGTGCAACTATTATGTATCCATAAACATTAAATAGAAAAAGTTTTAAAAAAAAGTAAACTACAAATGAACAGCCAAAAACCAATTATTCCCTCCAACTTTATCAGTTTGACTTAACTGCTAACTTCATGGTACATAACATACCATGATTTTATTAAAGCACTATTGTTGTAGGTCATTATATCCTTAATGAAACTTCAGAGTCTTCTTGGAACAAAGATCCTATTAAACATGGTTCTAGAGTCCAGGCAGTTGGAATGTAAGACTTGCTGGGTGTTGGGGGAACTCCCAGTTTAACAACAGTACCTAAGATGCTGAGGTGATCAAATTTCAAAGCAATTCTGGTGACTTATGTTTCAGATTGCAGGGTCAGGCCACCGAAGCAACACTGATAAAGCATGATAGGTACACGATGAAGACAACATGTTTTTAATAACAAATACCTAACTTGGATAGAAAAGAGCCAAACCTATGCAGAGTATTCACTCTTGCTTTATCTTTGCAGCTAAGGTACACTACCTTTAACGAAGCCTCTCTCTTTTCATTCTAGTCCATAATTTAAGAGTTATGTTCACAAAGACCAATTTCAGTAATATAAACTTGGTTAAGGTTTATCATCACAACATAACACCCCAGGTAAAACCAACATTTTCCGATGGCTGGGCTGAAACCGTATTGTGGTGCTTCAATATTGTGAATGGCACACCAACAGATTCACTTCCTCAAATTGTCTGTA